AAAATTGTTTGAACAAACGAGGTGTTCAGGGAGAAAATGCTTCGCTATAAAATGTTCTCTTGAGGCCATTACGCTCACTCCGCGACTTACACATCAGCAATGGCCGCGACTTTCAGCGAGAGATGCAGATGATCATTTGGGTCCCTTGAAATCCTCCGCTGCAATCTCTTTAATCCAGTCAAAAAGAGCACAGATTTTACTTTTTTTTTCACTCACACCAACTGAAGTTTTCATTGCTGTGGAAATTTGGTAGACACTGAGGAATCAAAACTTTGACGCTTTCAGCGGAAAAACACATGTGATGGTTTTTTTTCAAATTTAAGCACGAATTCTGTTATCAGTTTCTTTTGAAAAAATCTCGCTTCTCGAGACGTGCCAGTGCGAGGTTTTCCCAAGGAGAGGTGGAGCACTGGTGTCGGAGTTGCAGCGTTTCCGAGGGCAGCATAGCAGCAAGGAATTGCCTGTTCATTAGCGGAATTTTTCGCAAGATTTGAAGCGGGATATGATAAAGCGGACAGTTCCGCCGTGAATCAGCTGCAATTATCATTCTGCTCTTTTATTTGTGGGCTTCCCCAGCAGCGTGCACAGCTAAAGGGGAAAGGACAGGACTGCTGTACGCGTAGCAGCAGTAGTTCTAAGCTGCTTATCTCTAAACTCCCACTACCAAGGAATAGCATTGCTCGACCAAAAGGGTATATAAGTAGCAGCCGTAAAACCTCTCAAGGAGCGAACTCAATTTTGTCACCTAAAGTATTGTAGGAGTCACAATATTGTTACACGCCGCATCTGTAAGTATTGTTCCGCATTGTGCGTCTAAACTAATTTCATGCATTTAAAGTCATTTATCTTTCTTATCCAATAGCATGATATTTCTGTCATATAACCCCGCCTTCATTTAGTATTACAAAATATCTTGGGCACGGGCTGGCTTATCCACAAAGCGTCTCACATGTGAAAAAGTAAATTTTTGACGAACTGGAGTTTGTTTAAGATTTCTTTCCATTGGCAACTTAAATTTTCTAATCGTGCGCACAATTGCTCATAATTTTCTGAAGCTATAAATTGTCAAAGTTAATGTAACTCTTGAACAGTGAAAAATTTGATGGTAATTGTTTAGGAAGGCGATGAACATGCGCCCTAAATTATAAACGTATAGATACTCGCCAACAGACTTGAAAAAATTGAAACTCACTGTTTTTTCGAGAAATCCTAGCACTTTTCAAGTAGGAACAAAATTTTGAATAGTTTAAATAAATTAGTATAATTAAACCACAATACTCAATGGCTAGTACACAAATGCAACAGTTTCGTAAAAAATAAATCAGCGAACAAAAAAGTGTAAAATCATTAGAAACAATCGTAGTGCTGAGAAACTGGCTACAATAAAACTGTTTTATGAAACTACTAAACTAGAGATCAAAATGGTTCAACGAATTGTATGGACGCGTATGATAAAGTTTGGTTTAAAGAGATTTCAAAGGAAGCGGTTGTGTCTTCGACAGCATATCCAGCCGGCTGAAAGAAATGACAACTATGAACGAAGCATTATTTTCTGATATTACAGCAAAAGTATTCATGGGGTACAAAAATGCACCACCACGAAAAAAAGGAAAGTTGGAATTTAAGACCAACTTTTGAAATTCAGCTAGTCTCAAGTGCATAACTTCAGAGACGACTTTCACGAATAACCATGTAAATGAGATAATTTTTTTCCA